CTGAGCATCCAACATTGCAAACTGCACATTCACAGTGCTGCTCTGCAGGTTCAAGGCACATTGTGTGTACTCAGTCTTCCCACAGCATTTCCATAGGAGAGGGGGAAATGAATTCTCCAATGATACTGGAAGCAACACTTCAAGTGCTTTGATTCTTATGGATAACAAAGAATTGGAAGATACTTCCTAGCATTCACAGGAACCAAACCGAATTTGTCCCTTGTCACCTTTTCTTTAAGACTGAGAATAGGGTTCCCTGTGTAATACACAGGATTAATGGACTTGACTGCTCCTGTCATGCCCATTGACTCCTGTCAGCTGTGCCTTTCTAGTCCAGATCCTTCCTGGATTCAGTGGGACAGCAGGATAGTATGCTATCCCCTGAGGACCTGAGAATATATTACACACACATTCATGACAATGCAAACTCCTTTATCCCCATTGTAGATACCCGGAGGCGTAATATCGTTCTTCCCTATTGGTTATCTAAAATAATGTCAGTGATTAAATCTCCTTTCTCTAATCACACCATAATATTATCCCTTCTAGGAACAAGCCATATCAGTATAAATACTACCACATACATATTTTTTTTYATGCTCACCAAGAGGAATTCCATCTTTTTGGCAACATGTATAAAACAATAGGAGTGTGTGTGTGTGTGGATGAGCACTGGAAATGTTAAAAAATACTTCTGTAAGGTGCTATATTGGCTAGTAGCAACACAAATCTACTATGGGAAGCAAATAAGCAAGTTGTACAGGCCTTTTCTCCTATCGTGCTCTGAGCAGGTCTGTACTATATAGTTGCTAAACCAAGACATTCTGTTTGCATAGTTTTTTTTTTTATCTTGGTTGCTCTGCATCCAAGGTGAGCAAGCAATTTCAGAGCACTTCAGAAAAACTTCAGTGTAGGAAACAAAAACTAAAGCCTTTTTTCAAGGCTTCTGACCAGGAGGAGTTTACAGGAGAAGCAAATGTTGAATAGTGCTTCCCTATGTGAGCACAGCTGTATGTCAGTCTTGAAATACTGGGCATAAACATATCTAATGGGCAAAGCTATGCAGTTGCCATCATTAGTTCAGACAGGATATGAAGAGCAAGAATCCTTTAAAACCTGTCTTCCATGGAAAAGCATCAGCCAAACAGCTTGTCAAGAGCTATGGTCTGTGCATATCAAGAGGATATTCTCTAGCACAAGATTTGTAATTTATGCAGGAAGGGTTTGACTGTACTTTCTGTCTTGGTTCTTTAGATGTGATTAATCACATAGGGCAAATATTTCATTCAGGTTCTCTTTGCCTTCATTTTAGGATGGGGATTTTCCCCTCATGGCCATTTATTTCTGTCCTTCTGCTGGAGGCTTGGAGTCTGGAGCTTTGTGTTTAATCACTGCCTGTGCAGGCACTGTGCAGATGGTATCTGCTCAATGCTACCAAGTGCTAGATGGCATCTAATAAAAGCACAAAAATCCTCATAAAATTATTTCAAAATTTTAAAGTACACATGCCCTGTCAAGGGGGTGAGTAAACTCAATCAAGGATCCTACTTAAATACATTATTTTAATTCAACTTTAATTCCAATGTATCTATTTTAGTGTCAGATGGTACAAAAGAAAATGTCTGTGCTTCTAAAGCCCTCCAAAAACATAATTTCATAGGGAGGACAGGACCTTCTAATTATGATTTTTACAAATGTATTTTAATTTGGCTGTTCTATGGCAGGGAAGGCTTCTTTTCTCAGTGGGGCTCCTTGTACAAGATAACCAGGATTAAAGACCACAACCAGTCACCGAATAAGAAAATGCCTGAGAAGAGAGAAACAGCTGGAGGGAGGCCAAAGCCGCTGCCAAAAGATGCTTCAGTGAGTGAGTGCATTCACTCTGATGAGGATGCCAGAGGATAGCTCTTGAGAAACAGYTCCTGAATTAGCTTTCAGTCTTGTTATCTGGCAGTGAACTTTATAGCTTTCACAACGAGGAGCAGGCTTCACAATCCAGCCCAGTGTGCTTCCAGTGATGACATAGTGGATGTAGCTAGGCTGTATGAGAGAGATTGTCAGCTGAGCAAACGTGTTAGTGAAGGTTTGAAATGTTCTTTATCCTTACTAGGTATTACTTTTGGCATGAGAACAAAACTGATGGTGCAAAAGGAAGGTTGCCAGCAAAGTAATAATGAGAAAATAGATTAAACTTAGGCTTAACTTTCTAAAAGTGACTGTTCTACATTAGTGGTTTGTCGGGAACAGAGAGAAAGTTTGTATGGTGGTGAACAACTGAGCATCCAATACACAGAAAATTGTGAAGAATTTTGCCCTTTCCACTCATTAGTGAAGATTGTTCATAGCTTTCCAGGATCAGGTCTAACCCAAGCTGCTCTTTCAAATTGAGATTTCYATTATTTGAATGGCATAAGGTTAAAATATCAAATGAACCCTACATCTCTTTAAGGTGCCGTTTACATACTTCTTTTGAAGTCACTTGTGATGGTCCAATAAGTTGTACTCACCACATTTATATGTCCTCTTAAATAAAACACATGTGGATCTTGGCAATGCAGCTTATATGCTCATAAAAGCCAAATAACTTTGTGCTAAATTCTAATTATGAAATTTAATTGAGCCTCCAGTTGCTGATGGGTCTGTGTGAGTGGCAGCTGGGGATCACCTAATCATTCAGAGATCTGTATTACTTTCCTTTTGTTTATTTAAAGAGCTGTACATGATACTTCTTTCTTTAGACAAATTCCCTTCAGATATTGGACAATGAATGCAAAAAGCATGTGAACCTTGTGGCTACTCCTAAACAACCATCTGAGTACTTTGTAAGTGATAGTGAAGGTATATCTTTTTGCTCTAGGTCAAAACCCTTTCTTGTGTCATGCACAAAAAAATAGCAASATTCTTTATTCTTGAAAGCATTTATTATTAGAAAGACTAAATTGTCAAAAGAAATGTTTTCTTGTAATAGAGATTTCACCACTATTATTTTCTATTGTGTCATTCACTCAGAGACTTTGTTATACATTAAAAAAAAATCCAATGTCAATCAACTGTCTCTCAGTACTAGAAAGTGACATCGCTATGAAGATCAGGGCCTCAAATGAGATTTTGAACCCCCTGTACTGGGAAACATCCAGAACAGCTTTGCTGCTGTCATTACAGATATTCTGGTGTATCTCAGGTCAGGCTCTGTATACAGTGTCCAACTTCTTCTCAGAATGATCAGCTGCACTCCAGTAAATTAAGTAGTAACACAAATAACAATCCGGATGCCCAGGTTTTTCAGAAGTGTTCACCCTCCCAAGCCTATTTAGCCATGCTTACATATAACAAAAGCGTACAATGTCCTAACTTTTACCATATTTCAAAGCCCTTGCACCTCGATTTTGTTAAGGGTCCAGTTCTGTTGAAATGGTTTCAGCTGATAAGATTATTCTGGTAAGCAGGGCTTAACCTTGGGGAAACAAAGAGTGGATTGAATTAGAGAGTTCGCCCTTCCCTTCTCTTCCAGTCCAGGCATGCACGCACAGCAGCYTGCGCTCCCCTCTCGCTGTAAAGCCCATGCGGGTCACCTTGCCAGGCAGATGCGGTGTCCTCTTGCGCGTTTCCCAGCGCAGGGAGCGCAGCGCTGGTCGGTTTCTGCCACCTGCTGGCAAAGCCGGAGACGGCTTTTTCCACCCGTGAAATCGGAGGCTGAAGCGATGCCTCTGCACGCCTACAATCATTCTATTAACTGAAACCATCGTGGCACAAACAGGACAGTCTTCTGCTGCTGTTGCTCTTCACGCAGCTTTGGCTGCAAAGCCTGTGCCCGAAGAACTCCTCCAGAAAAACACCTCCAAAATTAAAATAGTTGTCATTGCATATATACATAAAAGGCCTTCATTGGTGAAGCACATTGGTGGACTCTGAGACTGATTTGTGGGGTTTTTTTAAGGCAATTCAAATAACCTTAAACATTTAAGGTATCTGCATCTATTCTAKAATTGAGATTTAACAGCTGAACTTATCCTTATTAGGCCTAACTGATTTCTGCTCCTGAGTTGTGGYGAAATTGAAATGTAGGTCTGGGCTGAAACCTGGTAAGAGGTGATAATTCTCTTTTCAGCTTTATATCCTATGCCTGATACACACTAAGTAGCCCRTGCAGCAGATCTCCGCATGCCTTGTGAATGTTAGCTGTTTAACATATTGTATGCAGCTGATATTCATATCTGTGAGAGGTTAATAACACCCTGTGAACCAGAGGGTTCCTGGGCACAGTTGGGTAATTGCTGCAGTTAAATGCTGTAGACACACAGCAGCCTCTGGAGATTRAATTCTCATGCAAAATTCATTCCCATGAATTACTGCAGTTCATCAAAGATTCTTCTCACAAAAATACTGCATAGTGAATTTTTTTTACTGAAGCTTGTTCTTGATCAGAAAATCATCACTATAGTCTGGCAGTAAAAAACCCTACAGTTTTTCACCTTTGCCTCAAGCAGATTCTTGCTCCACCCCTCCAGCAAAGCTTTCTATGCTGAAGCTGCAGCCTCTTGAAGTGCAGAGCAGCCCTCAGGCTGCCCAGCACCACTAACGCTGGCCTTTTGGGAAGCCTCAGGCCTAAGAGAGAGATGTAGAGGAAACAAAGATCCGCCCAGGTTAATAGGCAGTGAGTGAATTTGGGGGAAAAAAATACTACAACATTATGTGACATGACAGCCTTTTGGGTTTTTGGGATCCCTTTGAGATGACATAGCCTATCAGCTGCCACCACTATTAGAAACACAAGAAAAGGGATGTGGGGATGGCACACCAAAATTGACTCCATGCAATTCGGGTTTCTATTCCTGGTRCAATGGGACCTTATGAATTGTTACCTCATCTCGCCTCATTAGGTTGCAAGGTAATTGCAGGCTGTCTAAAATCATATCCTTATGGTACACCTTCAGAAAAAAAAAAATACAACCTTCTGAACGTGCTTAGAAGCGTACTTCCAGAACAAAGCTTCCCTGCCAATGAACAGACTTGCCTGCACCGTGCCAAGAAGAATCGCCTCTCCTTTTTTTCTGCGGGGCGGGGGAAGCAAACACGCCCAGCACATTTTAACACAAGACGCTCTGTTCCACAGTGTACCACAGGCGCATACGGAACACGCCCTTCCGGGGGAGAACACGCGGGGTCCATCCCGCGCCCGGGGCGCTCCCGGCGGAAGCGGCAGAAGGGGTGGGGCGTGCAGCCATGGCGGCGGAGCAGCGGCGGGACCTGGAGCGGCTCTCGGCACTGGCCGTGTACCGCCGGGTGGCGGGGGCCGGGCGGATGGAGCGGCGCCGCCGCGGGGCCCCGCTGCCCGCGGGCTGCAAGCGGGCCAAGGCCCGCCCGAGGCGCCGCCGGGCGGGAGGCGGCGGCTCGAAACCGGAGGCGCCGCCCGCCGCGCCCCCGAGCCGCGTGGAGACCCTCGTGGAGCCCCGGCCCGGAGCGGCGGCCGCCGAGCCTGACGCCAAGCCGCCGGGCGGCCCCGTGTCGATACCGGCCCACCCGCGGCCGGCGGGCGAGGACGGCGGCGGTGTGTCGGGGCTGCTGCGGCGGCTGGCGCGGCTGGAGGACAGCCGGCAGCGGGCGGCCGAGCTCTTCCGCTGGCTGCTGGCCCCGGTGGCGCCGGCGGAGTTCCTGGGGCGGCACTGGGAGCGGGCGCCGCTGCTGGTGCGGCGGGGCGACCCCCGCTACTACGCGGGGCTTTTCTCCACGGCCGACTTCGATGCCGCCCTGCGAGGCGGAGAGGTTCAGTTCGGCACGCACCTGGATGTGACCAGCTATGCCGAGGGCGTGCGGGAGACACACAACCCCTCCGGTAGAGCCCTGCCCGCCGTCGTGTGGGACTTCTACCAGAACGGCTGCTCCCTGCGCCTCCTCTGCCCGCAGGCCTTCTCCCCYACCGTCTGGGACTTCCTCTCCATCCTGCAGGAGCAGTTTGGCAGCATGGCAGGGGCCAACACCTACCTCACACCCCCAGGGACGCAGGGCTTTGCCCCCCACTATGATGACATCGAGGCCTTCGTGCTGCAGCTGGAGGGGAAGAAGCACTGGCGTGTCTACAGCCCCCGGATGGATGCTGAGGTGCTGCCCCAGTTCTCCAGTCCAAATTTCACACAGGCTGAGCTTGGCGAGCCTGTGCTGGAAACGGTGCTGGAGGCTGGAGACCTGCTGTACTTCCCCCGTGGCTTTATCCACCAGGGCGATTGTCTCCCTGATGCACATTCACTCCACATCACTGTGTCTTCCTTCCAGAGGAATTCCTGGGGGGACTTTCTGGAGAAGCTCCTCCCAGCTGCCCTGCAGATGGCCCTGGAGGAAGATGTGGAGTATAGACGAGGGCTTCCCATGGACTACCTGCAGTATATGGGGGTCGCTAACTCAGAGACAGTCAATGCTCACCGAACGGCCTTTGTGGAGAAGGTGAAGAGCCTGATAAAGAAACTTGTTGACTATGCACCCATCGATGCTGCTGTGGATCAGAGAGCCAAGTCGTTTCTTCATGACTGTCTCCCTCCAGTACTCACACAAAGTGAAAAGGCACAGAGTGTCTATGGCTTCCCGGCCCGATGGCAAGAGGGAGGCCCCTGCAATGTTGATATCCTGGTGACAAAAGACACTGAAGTACGCCTACTCCGTCATGGTATTGTTAGACTGTGTAATGAAGAAGCAGGTGTGATGCTGTACTACACAACAGAAAACTCAAGAGTGTATCATAAGGAAGAACCCAAGTTCCTTGAGCTAGATCCCGAGTATACAGACAGTATCGAATTTCTCCTATCTTCCTATCCAAATTATGTCAGTGTGGATAACCTTCCATGTGAAACCTTGGAGGAAAAGATTTCTCTAGCTACACTTCTCTTTGAGAAGGGTATTCTGACTACAAAGAAGCCTCTGGCACAAGTCTAACTCTTATTTTTTCACAAAATAAAAGTACATTTGTTTAGTAAGTGGTCTGTCTTAGTCTTGCGTTACTCCTGCTAGATGTGAATCAGCAGTTSGGGTCTCTGCATCTCATCTCGGGGTAGAAGGTCTATGTCATGGGGGCWGAGAAATCAAATGTTCTGATTAAAATAAGTATTTGCTCTAGGTGCAATTCTGAATGGCTGAATACCTAGAGAAGGGAATTGATTATTTTCGTCAACCATGTTACTACACTCTAGGTAACTTCAGGAAGCTAGTGACGTTTCTTGCAGTCTTGTAAATCATACTGTGTCTTCACAGTATTTTAAAGCAGCCTGCTCTGCTGCAGGAAATACTCCTACTATTCATAGGCATATTTGGTGATGGTGACTATTCTATGTGCCTTTGCTGTACAGATGGTGTGGCCTTCAGGCCCGTGCTGTGTCATAAAGATCCCTTGGTCACATATATACTCATAAAAGTGGAGTCTCCAGGCAGCTGCTGCTCTCTTCGGGCAATTACACCCACCTATGTTGTCCTGCCCTTATTGAATGGTGCAGCAAGATTTTCTCAGGCAAACATCATCTGCTGCATTTGAAATGCTTCAGGCTCACTCGCTTCCTTTTCAGTCCAATTATAGAGATAAAATAACCTTCTGCACTGGTTTTCCCACCGCAACCCCTAGGAATGAAATTACTKGTCCTTTCAAGGCAAATGGGGCGCTCTCCAGTACCTTTTCTTTTCGAGTTTTTTTTGTGCTGGGTGAAAAAAGTTTCATTTTAGGACCTATCAAGTTACATGAATACATGACTAGTTGTGTGGCCAGTTCCCGTAAATACTGGCAAACCTCCAAAACACTCCCACAATGCTATTATATCAGTCAGTAGGTGATAGATATTCTGTCTTTAAAGCCTCCTGAAGCTATACCCACAAGGACCATCCTGTGCTCCTCTGAGCTTTTGGGTTATCCAGATTTTGCAAGATAGCACCCATGCACTCTTAACTATTTAGGATTTAGGTGTACATTATGTCCTCCAAGATCCCATACTTGCAAGAGTGCCAGCCTTTCCTCCCTCTTATGCCTGTATGCTTTCCTTACATCTTGAAACTTGGGCTGTGTAAAATTGTGTTGCACAAGAACACACTGAGGTGCCTTTGGGGTCTTCTGAGTGTGTGCAGATTAGTGGCTGGACTGGAAATCCTGTTGCCACACTTACCCTCTAAGCCCTCTGTTATTCATCCTCACCAGAGGGTCAGCCATCCTTGCCCCACCATTTATGCCCCTGGTAAATGTCTCATGTCTTGTGCACTTCCTGGGTTGCTCGGTGTGCTCCCCATGCAAACACAGGCACCAGCACTGCAGCTTTTCTACCTGGGGGCTGTGGTGCAGAGCTGCAACACAAACTCCTTTCTGTGATGGCTGCAAGCATCCCCATGGCTGTTTCAAGCACTTTAATGACAAAAACAGCATAAAATCCCCTTACCTCTTCCTTTCCCTAGACTCTGTTCTGCTGAGGTGGGGCGTTTTGATAATCCCCCCTCAGCTTTTAATTCCACCAGGGAAACTGCCCAGGCTAGACACCTTACACATACTCCTCACAGATTTACACAGGGCTAACCAGGCACRGAGTTTCTGTTTTCTTCACTATTCTTTCTGCAGAAAGGTATTTCTAGCTGAGACCTACAGAGTATACCAAATTTTTTGAACTAGGTTGTTTTGGGCCATTATAATGCCAGGAAGAAAAGCACTCATATTTTGTAAGGTATCGAAAAATGCTATTTAATAGAGCTAATACTAATCTTGCATCCCTTCAGATGCTGAGAACCCCACGCAATGAAGCATTTCCCCACATGCTGCATGTCATGCAGACATGGTCCATTGCAGAGATTGTCCCCTTTCGGTCTTTTAAGGGATGGTAAGATTCTTGTATAAGGAAACAGCTCTATTTAGTATATCTACTGTCATAGAAACAGTGTTTACAAGGGAATGTCTTTCTGCACTGTTCAATAAGGGCAGGACCAGACAGATCATGTAACCTCAGGTCCAGGGTGGGAGCTGCCTGTGCTCTCCCCTGTAAGGAAGACCTGCGTGAGTTTCCTGTAGGGCTTGGGATCTGTGCAGGACAGTGCAGGCCTGAAGGCCACATGGTACAGACAGCACAGCACAGCACAGGYACCAAAGGCATGGGGCAATCATGTCCTCCAGAGGCCACACCTTGGCTATTGGAGGRGAATGCTGTAAGGCAAGGACCATGCTGAGGGTTTCTTCAGGTGCTTCCTTACAAGCAGTGCAGGAACACAAATGAAGCTACAAGGAGCATATCCACCAGTTTTTGATCCTTGGGGCATAGGAAGAGGATCTTTTTTAAGGATACAAGGATCATTGAGTTTCACAACAACTACATGGGACACAGAAAGTGGGGAGGGGAGCTGGCAGTCCCACACATGCCTGTCACTTTGCCACTTCAGAGAAAGCTGCAGAAGCACTCATCTGTCTTAGCTAGCATCTGCCAGAATGCTTACCTAGGAAAGGGGGAGGACCAAACATCTGTTTGGGTACACTGGAAGGGTAGAGGATGGGTACTATTCAGGTACCATCATGTCAGAGTGACTGAGACATAACAACATGGGGAGATTGTGGAAAGGAGGCACCTGCATTTTTGCAGCAGCTTTCATGAATCGTCATCACATGCATGTTAACCCTTAGTCTAGAAAATATAAAATAAAGAAAAAAGCCTTTACTGGTAGCTAACTGTGGTGGGTTGACCTTGGCTGGCTGTTGGATACCCACTAAGCCATGGTTTCGACCCACTTTAGCAACAGGAGAGGTGTTGAAGAGAAAGAAGAGAAACCTTACAGGTCAAGATAAGGATGGGGAATAACTCATCAACGAGCATCATGGGCAAAGCAGACTTACTTGACTTAGAGGAGATGAATTTATTGCCAGTAAATAACAGAGTAGACAGTGAGACATAAAAACAAAATTTAAAACACCTCCCCATCATCTTTGGGCAGCATCAGGTACATCTCTGAACTGGCTGAAACTATCTCTGTCCAATATGGGGGAGCCCCAGTCTCTTCTTACAGCCGCCCACTACCAAAACTTTTCCACACTAGCCAGGGTCATCAATTCCAATATTCTTGACTATTCCGATGTCCTTCCTGATCYGTTTCAAGCCCCTGGCAACCAAAGCCTGATCCCACTAGAGAAAGCCGAGGCACATCCTATCCATTGTGGGACAAGATGACCACGTTGTCAAAAGTGAGTATTATGCTACTGAAGTCTGCAAGCTTTTGCAGGCTCAAAGCAAGGGAAATTTTCAGATTCTCTCCTACCCTGGAACAGGGCACTGCATAGACCCTTCCTTTTCCCCTTTGTACTCTATAGGAAGCCACCCTGTTTTTCACAAGCAGGCAGTCCTGGGTGGGGAGCTCAGAGCTTATTCTAAAGCTTAGGTTCATGCTTGGTCACAGATCCAAGCTTTTTTTCAGGAAGTATTTAAATGCTAACTAATGTGCAACAAATCTGAGTCTGAGATTTAAAAGTCATGGAGTCACTTGCTGTGCTTTTGTTAGAAGCAGGGTTTGCAATTTGACTGCTCTCTCATCGCAGGGTGGATCATGGGCCCTGTTGATGGAAAGACCCCGAGGGCCTCCTGCCCCACCTTGGCAGAGAAATCACAATCACTCCAAAACATCTGTGTACAATGAACTGCACCAGCACCTCCTATTGCTTTGTGAGGACAAAACCCGGGGCCTCCATTTCTGTCAGCCCCGGCGGGCTCCACCTCCTTCCGAAAGCACCATCTTCCCATGCCAACTGAACCAGCTGTCCTGGTTGTCTTCATTTTGCAAGTGTCCTCCAGGCCAGCCTGTCACATATGGGACAGACCTCAGACCCAGACCTCTCAGCCCTATCATGTTTTCAGCACCTTGTTGTCCCCTTTGCAGCCCTTCCCTGCCCAGTAGATTACATAACAGATGTTACTGGCAGTGCTGCCTGACACCTYTGGGCCTGCCCCAGCTTCTTTGTTTGGGTGTGGGCAAGAAGAGAATGTAACAGAGAAGGAGAGAGGGAGGAACACAAGTCTTGGAGTAGCTCATGACCATGCCATGTGCTGTCACCTCAGAAGACTGAATGTCCCAGGACACGCCAGGAGAGCAGTGCAGGGCTAGTAAGGCTGTCTCCACTTGAGATGTTCCAGGCCTGCAGCTTGGCTGAGTTTGAGAGAAAAAAGACGGAGCCTGTCAGAGAAACTCAGKAAGGAGGATGCAGTTGTTTCTGTGTTTGTGTCCAGTCCAGCAGGCCTGCTGTAGAGAACTTCCACCAGAGCAGATAAACACGCTATGCATCAGCAAGTGACTGGACAGAGCAGCTACCTTTTGGTGATTATAGTATCATAGAATAGTTTGGGTTAAAAGGGACCTTAAATGTCATTTAGCCCAACTCCTGTGAAATAGGCAGGGACATCTTCACTAGATCAGGTTGCTCAGAGCCCCATCCAACCTGGCCTTGGATGTTTCCAGGGATGGGACATCTACCAACTCTCTGGACATCCTGGGCCAGTGTTTTACCATCCTCATTGTAAAAACTTCTACCTTATGTAATGTAGATCAACAGTCTTTTCGTTTAAAGCCATTATCTTGCTAATAAATTAGTCCCCACCTTACAGGCCCCCTTCAAGTTCTGAAAGGTGGCAATAAGGTGTCCCTGGAGCTTTCTCTTCTCCGGGCTGAGATGCTCTGCCAGTGTCAGGGGATCGGCTATGTTGATCACGCCCTGCCATGGGAACAGGCAGGCTAGCAACAATGGCTCCAGGCAGACTTGTCATCTTCCAGCATGTGTGTGCCCACACTATTCCTGCTTCAATTCCCCTCCCCTCGGTTGTGTGCGAGAAGCTGCATTTCTAGAAGCCTCAGCCTGAGTGCAGACATAGTGAATTCAGGAAGTCCGGAGCCATGTGGCAGGTCAGCACCCGCTCCCTGTGCCGGACCAGCTCCCGCACCTGGCAGAGGCGGCTGCCCCGGCCCGACCCCGCGCCTGCAGCCCCGCGGAGCCGCAGCCGCCCGTGGAGCCCCGGGACAGCCCCCGCCCGGGGACTCTCCTCCATGGCCCCCGCCATCCGCCTGTCGCCCGCCGCCCGCAGCCTCTTCGATGAGCCGCTGGCCATCGCCGTGCAGGGCCTCGGCCCGCGGCAGCAGGTCACGCTGCGGACGTCCTTGCGGGACGAGAAGGGAGAGCTCTTCCAGGCCAGTGCCCTCTACCAGGCGGGGGACGACGGGGAGCTGGACGTCGCCCGCTGCCCTGCGCTGCCGGGAGGCAGCTTCTCCGGCCTGGAGCCCATGGGGCTGCTCTGGGCTTTGCAGCCCCAGAAGCCTTTCTGGAGGCTGGTGAAGCGRGATGTGCAGAACCCCTTCCTCCTGCAGCTGGAGGTGTTTGAAGGCCACGGGGAGCGCCCCGGGCGGCTCTTGGCACAGGCACAGCACGAGCGGGCGTTCCTGCGGGACGGGGTGCGGAGAGTCCCGGTGCGAGAAGGGAGAATCCGGGCGACGCTTTTCCTGCCCCCCGGTGAGTACCCATTGTATCCATCCCGTYTTGTCTAAACGAGTGTTTTGTTAGTGCGAGTTGTTACATGACCTCTTGCGAAGGGGTCCGTCAAAGCTCCTGTCCTTTCCCCCTTTCCTCCCTCCCTTCCATGCCACTGACCAGCTTGACCGTCCTTCCCAATTCACCACGTGGCAGGACATGGTTGCAGAAACAGGGAGAGGAATAACCATTCTTTGCCAGACCTTGACGTTAAAAAAAAAAAAAAAAAAAAAAAAAAAAAAAAAAAAAAAAAAAAAAAAAAAAAAAAAAAAAAAAAAAAAAAAAAAAGAAGAAGAAGAAGAAATTCAGAGCCAGGTAAAGTGAGTGTGCCAGGAGGGCTGCCAGAGACAAGAACTTGCAGAAGAGAGTGGTGGGGAAGGGCTCTGTGACCGTCGCTGGCATTCCTACTCACTGGGAGGGTTTGGGGAATCCTTCTCCCTCCTCCTCCAATAACTATAGTAACTATCTGGTGACCATAGCCCACAACCACATTGGGGTGAACACAGTCAGTTCGTGAAAGAGGGAAGAAGAGGGGCTCAAGAACATTTKCAGGGAAAATATCTTTTCAGCACGAAGAGGCAATTATTTGATTGCTCCGGAAAAGGTGCAGAGCACCTTTTTCAGATGTAAGATAGCCCGACACCTCCTGTTTCTAGCGTCTTCTGGGCAGCTACACAGACTTCTCTGCCAGACTCCAGGGTGTGGGTACGCTGATTTCACAGCATCCTGCACACGAGACTGGGACTCCCTCCCCTGCCTCACTTCTACCCCCACCTGCTGGCCACGAGAGGGAAGAAACCACCTGAACACACTTGATATCCAAAACGTTCCACTTCGCCCGAGCTGAGGCACTTGCAGTGAGTCAAATCTTGTATTTCCTCAGAGTCCCCATACCTCCTCCTTTTGCTCATGTTTTAAAATGATAAGCCCTTGACACACACTCCCTGGCACTCTGAATTGYTTTCTAGTCACAGGATAAAAAGCATTTATCCCCATTCTACTGCCACCACAATCTTCAGCTTAACAAGAATGTAAGCTCAGTCTATAGTATTACTGTTAGTTCTATTTGGAGATGTGTTTCACCACCATGATTKCACCACACTCAAATTGTCCTGCACTACCCCGTCATGATTTTCAGCTCCTGAGACTGCTCTCTACACCACACATCTTCACATTCAGATTCAGGAGTTGGATACTCCTCAGTAAAGGACCTAAGGCCATGTAGAGGCAGAGAGCTCAAAAGGCTTTTGCTATAGAACTGTTGCACCTCCCTTGAGCCTTATTCCCACAGCCTTATTCATCATCACCACCTTTTCTATGCATGTTCAGTGCAAGTCCACAGAGCCCTGCCACACTCAGCTGAGCCATGGGATACAGACAACTGCATTCCTGGCCCCTGGCTACAAATCCACTGCCCTGAGTGCTCACAGCCTGTGAAGAGACAGTAGATGTGTGTTGCCTCCATGCAAACAGCCACAGTAGCACTTTTGGTAATAGGGCTCTCCTTAGTCCAAGGCAGAGTGAACAGATACTGTTCTCTCTCTCCTGGCCCCTGTGACGCACGGCAGCACATTCCCACCTTCCACCTGCAGCCTTATCCATGGATGCGTGGGGCAGCGTGGTGCAGGGTGTGAGACTGGCAGAAGGGCATCCTCAAAGGATGGGAGGCTTGAGCCCACTCAGGCCCGTGGCTCTCCTGAAGCCAAAAGTAGGCGTGAGCTGGGTCTTACCCACTCCCTAACACGCCAGGGTCACCTTCTCTGGCCTGGGGCATGTGGAGCTTCCCTGAGGCCTGTAGTGCCAAAACCAATCAGGTTGAAGAAATGCAACATGCAAAGCATTCTCTTCCCTTGCACTGGGTGGACGGGTGCAGGATTTTTCCAGATGTTAAAAAGCCACAATACAAACAAAAACGCTTACAGTTTCTAGTTTGCATTACATCTATCAAATCATTGAGGATTTTTATAGGAGTAGGTGAAGAGGTTGTTGTTACAGGGCTGCTTATAGGAAAAGAATTTGGGACCTGACACTTTCACCAAAGACTCTCTGCCTGTTGGCCCTAAGCACAGCATATAATACTGCTGATTTCTAAAACAAATATGGGTTTGCACCTTACCTAAGAGGTCTGCTTCTGCACATTTTTCCTCTGCAACACACTCTAGAGCTTTCTCAGATGCTGACACTGCACAGCTGACTGCTCATGTCTTTTCCCCAAAAGATGCATTCCTGCAGTTCCTGTTGGGTACCTCATGTGATGCATTCTAAACCAGAGAAACATTGAAAGGAGACATTTCAGGCAATTCTGATCTTTGTCTTGTTTGCTCCAGGAGAAGATATCTTTCCAGGGATCATCGATATACATGGACTGGGAGGAGGTCTTTTTGAGAACAGAGCAAGCCTGCTGGCCAACCATGGTTTTGCCACACTAGCCTTGGCTTATTATCAGTATGAGGATCTGCCCCAGAAACCAAACAAACTCCACCTGGAATATTTTGAAGAGGCAGTGAACTATATGCTGCAGCACCCACAGGTAGGAACACCCCATTTCCCCTGGTTCCAGGAACTGCTTCTATAAAGTCCTCTAACTTTGCCCAAGTTGTCTTTGGAGGAAGCTGCAGAAATATTCACCTGGCAGGGCTGGCCGTTGCAACGATTTTGGTTGTCTGAGTTCTAGGAAGGACAAGGGTCAAGCATATATGCACTGGAAGGGAGGTGGAGAGAGATGACAAAGCAAAGTCACAAGGGACAGATCAGRCATAAGAGGGTGAGAAGGTTGTGCAGGAGCAAGCCTTCATGAATTACCACCAAATGTCCTCCTACAGTCTCAAGAGTGAAATGACCATCTGCCAGTGATAGGCAGACTAACAGTTCATAGCTGAGACATACATACAACCTGTCCTCAGATGGATGAAATTATGTCCCCCCCACTCCTAGCTGATTTCAGAGCACCAGGGAACATTCTGCATGTGAGTGGTTTGAAGTACAATTGAGGCGGGGTTGGGGGGGAGTATGGAGGGTGTGCCTGTCATTTATCCAGAAGAAAAAGTAATCATTGTCATAATTTTCTTCATGTGGTTTTGTGAACTCTCAGCATTAGGCATTGTTCCCTTCCATGAACCAGCTGTCGTGCTATTCAGCTCAGCACTGATGATCATTTCCTCCTGTCTCTCAGGTGAAGGGTCCAGGGGTTGGCCTGCTCGGTTTCTCCAAAGGGGGTGAAGTATCCCTTGCCATGGCTGCCTTCCTGAAGAACATCCTGGCTGTTGCTTCTCTCAATGCCCCTGTTGCTGCTACACTTATTCCTCTCTCTTACCAGGATAAAAACATCCCCACTTTGACCTTATATGAGCATAAAGCCAAGGTCATCAATTCCAAAATTCTTGACTATTCTGATATCCTTCCTGATCCCTTTCAARCCCCTGGCAACCAAAGCCTGATCCCACTAGAGAAAGCTGAGGCACAGCTCCTATTCATTGTGGGACAAGATGACCATGTTGTCAAAAGTGAGTATTATGCCACTGAAGTCTGCAAGCTTTTGCAGGCTCAAAGCAAGGAAAATTTTCAGATTCTCTCCTACCCTGGAACAGGGCACTGCATAGACCCTCCCTTTTTCCCTTTGTACTCTATAGGAAGMCACCCTGTTTTTCACAAGCAGGCAGTCCTGGGTGGGGAGCTCAGAGCTTATTCTAAAGCTCAGGTTCATGCTTGGTCACAGATCCAAGCTTTTTTCAGAAAGTATTTAAATGCTAACTAATGTGCAACAAATAATGTGCAAACAACACACAACTCTGAACAACCAGTTCCGATAAATTCTGCTACATTTATCAGATCAAACACTGTCCACACTGCTGTACCAGGACAGCTACAGTATCTTCCATGACTTTGCATATCCATAACTCAGAAAAGAAAGGGATTTGCCTTTTCTGTTCTCCCTTCAACCTTTTTGCTCAAGTGTCAAGAAAAGGAATGGTGCTTTTTGCATTAATCTTTTATAAAACAGTTCATGTGCAAAATGCACAGTTACATTTCTTGGGTGTTTTCCGTACTTGACAGTGCTTTCAAGATCACTGTGGTCTCTACATGCATATGCTATCCTCAGGTCATAGTGAGCTCACTGTCAAATGACAGTTTTGGAGCAGGGATTTCACTGCTCTTATGATGAATGTCTCATTGGAAATGGAAATGTCTCTGATCTCTGTGCTGCTGGAAGTGTGTAAGAATGGCTGCTATAGCCAGGATGCTGGGSCACCTCTGCTTAAGCCGTGGTAAAGGTCGTTTGCCTTCTGTGCCTTCTTTCCATCTTCCCTTCAGAAGGAAKTGTTCTGGCTCATGGATACTTCTGTCCCCAAGATGTCATGCTGAAAAACTTTCTGTTGAATTTACAGCCATTTTGATCTTCTCCCACATGATGTACTTTTAATCTTTGTTATTTGGATCAGAATTGTAATAAAGAGACTGAGATTTGAAAGCCATGGAACTATTTGATGTGCTTTGGTTAGAAGCRGGGTTTGCAACTTGACTGCTTTTTCATCCCAGGGTGAAAGCTTGGGATTGCATAAATTTGGGATCAAAGGCTGCCCAGGTGGGAACAGGAGACCRTAGAAGATGGACAGATAGCACTCTTACTTTCTCTCTTCTACTCCTCTTGCTTCACCAAGATGGAAGAGAAGGAATGTTGCTGAAGGCCTTAGAACCCTTTCCCTTAGCATCTGCTACCACATATGGTCAAGCCAGTGATCAAATCCAGTAGTGTAAGCCAAGGAGTATTGTCCTCAACAACAAGAGTAGTTGCCACACATTGAGGTCTGGACACCTGGCAACATGCCCAAATGCTAGATGACAGAGCACCTCACCTGTTTAGGAGAATGAAAGATTGTTAAGGTTCTGCCTGATACCTCTGACCACTTAATATTTCCAGCTAGGACAATGTGCAGGATTCCCTTAGCTGCTTCCACCTCTTTCACATCTCTAAGTCAGACATGCGGAGCTTGGACCRTGAGGCACCCCTACCTGCATCTCCCAGGAAGGGTCTGGGAACTTAAGGAAACAGTTCCCCCTCTGCAAGATCCATCTCTGCATCAGATGGACTGAATGACGTTTTTTAAATMCTTGCAAAATCCATTACTAGAAGAACTAGATGTTTCCTAACCTGGTTTAAGAGTCTGTGAAAGTACTCCTCCCTTATTGCTCYCACTACCCTGACCATCCCTCCCAATACACCTGGCTGTGCAGCTGCCTGGGCTAGGCAGAGCCTGGTGGAGATATGACCCACATCGTCCATGCCTTAGGGTAACCAACATTTTTTTCCTGTTAGAGAATTAAGGCATTACTTTATTCTGGCCAGGATGTTGTTCGGGCCAGAATATGTAACAGAAATCATCTACACATTGCCYGGGTTGTGCAGAGAAAATATTTCCATCATACACRGTTCTTCACAAGATTTTCAAATACTTATACAGTCAAAACCCAGAAAAATGAACTGTTTTAATGTTCACAGGTCCCAAGTTACACAATTCTTAGTATCTGGTTTCTTATTGATCCGTTCACCTTCGATGCTAATTAGCTTCTCATTCTTCGATCTTTTCCCAGAGCAGGTGTCTCTGACCATGCCAGGGGTRATGTTTGAGCGCTGATGTTCGTTAATGGTCGCTGATCTCTTGTGCATCCTCTGGCAGCTCCCAGACTATTGAGATGCTAAGCTCATCACGCCTTGCTCAGGGAACAGGGGACTACGGTTCTCGGTAGCTCATTAACATCTCTGCTCGTCCYCTCCGAACGTCCCCGGCTCGCAGCCACCGCCCGGCCCTGGCGAGCTCGGGGGCGCACTGAAGAACTCGTTGGGACATAGACGGGTTGCAAGGACTCGGTAGCTTTTGGCGGAATCCGCCCACAGTCRGGGAAGACAGCGGGGGCGAAGGCAGAAGGGGAGACGAAGAGGCATGGAGGCAGAGAGGCTGGCAGGCAGGCAATAGAGAAGCAGACGGGCGGGACAAGGGAGCTGCCGCGCCGCTCCTCCCCGCTGGGGCGGGCCAGTGGCGCTTCGGGCCCGAGCTCGGCCCCGGTTCCGCGAGGATCTGCCCCGGAATCCGCCCCCAGAGTCGGGAGGGACCGGAGCCATGTGGCAGGTCAGCACCCGCTCCCTGTGCCGGACCAGCTCCCGCAYCTGGCAGAGGCGGCTGCCCCGGCCCGACCCCGCGCCTGCAGCCCCGCGGAGCCGCAGCCGCCCGTGGAGCCCCGGGACAGCCCCCGCCCGGGGACTCTCCTCCATGGCCCCCGCCATCCGCCTGTCGCCCGCCGCCCGCAGCCTCTTCGATGAGCCGCTGGCCATCGCCGTGCAGGGCCTCGGCCCGCGGCAGCAGGTCACGCTGCGGACGTCCTTGCGGGACGAGAAGGGAGAGCTCTTCCAGGCCAGTGCCCTCTACCAGGCGGGGGACGACGGGGAGCTGGACGTCGCCCGCTGCCCTGCGCTGCCGGGAGGCAGCTTCTCCGGCCTGGAGCCCATGGGGCTGCTCTGGGCTTTGCAGCCCCAGAAGCCTTTCTGGAGGCTGGTGAAGCGGGATGTGCAGAGCCCCTTCCTCCTGCAGCTGGAGGTGTTTGAAGGCCACGGGGAGCGCCCCGGKCGGCTCTTGGCACAGGCGCAGCACGAGCGGGCGTTCCTGCGGGACGGGGTGCGGAGAGTCCCGGTGCGAGAAGGGAGAATCCGGGCGACGCTTTTCCTGCCCCCCGGTGAGTACCGGCCGTGCCGGGCTCCTTCTCCCACGGGGTGCTTCTACTTCCGACTCCGCTCTCCCAGGGTCGGAGATCGCCCCCAGGGTCCCCTGGAGCTCTGTACCAGGCAGAGGACAAGGGGAAGCTCAGTCTCACCAGCTGGCACAGGACATTGGACACTCCTCAAGGAGTGACCTGATCAGCCCAACCAGCTTTGACCTGCTGGCCCTACTYTTCACATAGAGCAGCTGCATGTGGTGAAGCACATATGTGTTTGTTTAATTAACTTCTTTTGGACCTGAACGCATTGATCACAGTACACTTTTTGTTCCCAATGCCGTGGGAGGTGCAGTCAGCCAGTCTTCAAAATACCTTTCCTCTACCTGGCTGTTTTCCAGAAAATTCAGATGGTAATTCTTTTGCGTAAGTGGAAGATTGCTCTGCTAAACTGTAGAGTTTAAGTGTGTTGTTTCCCTTTCCATCCTCTCCACAGATCCTGAATWTAGTAATGTCCTAATTGCTGTAGTCCATCCTGCCTTTTCCTGCCACATTTGTCCCCAGTTCTTCTCTGTTTGTGAGCAGAAGGTCAAGGACAGCATTGGACAGACTTGCCCTGGCAGAATTTTTGTCAGAAAATAATGAAGAAGGTCTGTGAGGTTTTCAGAYTGCCTGACAAATGCTGTGTTGTCCTTCCATCAGCTGTCCAGATTTCTGGTAGTTGTCTGCAGGAAACCTCATCTCTTGCATTCYCTTGGTTCTGTAGTAGCCACATCCCCACCACAGCCCTCCTTTCCTACCCCTTGTGATATACAGAGGTTTTCACCAGCTGTTTCTGGAACACCATGCACTCAAGGAGCTCCTCTATGTAGYACCTGCCTTGCCCTCTCCTCTTTCTTCCCCTTCTGATCCAGATAACTCATCCATGACAGTGCTAAAATCATACATGGTCTCCCGTCCCGGGCTCTGGACTCTGCTCTCGCTCCTTAAGGCTAGAGGTGAATTTCTAGCTCTTGCTTGTTGCCCATGTTTGACGTATTAGTTTGCAGACACCTGAGGGAAGCCTCACCCTCCCTCCTGAGCAGGAATGGAAGTCTCCCTTTGGCTTCCTCCTTTCCATACTTTGTTAGCACTTTGCAGCAATCCCTTTCAGCTCTGGACTTCAGTCCCTGTCCCCTGATGAACCTAACGTAATGCATCCCTTACCAGGTAAGCAAGGCTGGTTTCAAATACTTTMTTCTCTTATTCAAAAAATAAAAGACTACAGCATAGTTACACTGAAATTGAGAAGCTGGGACAATCAGAAGATGAGATATTTTTGGATCAGTCTTCTGAGAAATGCACTAAGGAGAASCCTTCTGGGCATTTTTTGAAGCAGAGCTTATACATTTGCAGTGAATTTATACCATACCGACAACTAGTTGTGACTGTGAAAAGATCCCTTCTCTTCCAGCTGCATGTTCCCTGATAGTATCTAAAACATTAGCAGGCCTGCTAATTTGTGCTAGTTTGTTTAATCTTGAAGCAATATAGCCATTTMATTAAAATGGTCACAGTAATTATGAACCCTTAATAGCATTCTACTGCTCTATTTTTTTCTTTTTTTTTAGAAGACACATTCCCAGGCCTATGAATTTGGAATATAAATTTAAAATTGTGGGTTAATGTGTCCTGTTATATGGTCTCTCACAGGAAATGGCCCCTTTCCGGGAATTATTGACTTGTATGGAACTGGAGGTGGACTCCCTGAATACCGGGCATGCCTGCTTGCCAACTACGGCTTTGCTGTGATGGCTCTGGCTTTCTACGGCTATGAAGATCTCCCCAAAGAGATGAAGGAATTCCACCTGGAATATTTTGAAGAAGCTGTAAACTATATGTTACAACACACCCAGGTTGGTTTGTTCATTGACACTCASTACAGTGAACTCACATTAGTTAGGTCCTGTCAGACTGCAGATGTAGCACAGCTGCTGCAGTTAAAATGGCATCACTGTTAAGTTGTCTGTAATTAATTTGTTTTATATCTTTAACTCCCATTACAATGGCTCCCTGGCAGATTATTCCAACTCTTCCTTTTGAACTGGCCAGGTGAAACAGTCACACATCAGTCACACATACTGGTAATTTCTACTCCATTCAACCCAGTGTTATACCTAGGGAGCTAGTTGCCTGGAGGCTTACTGGACTTCCAGCAGGGATTTGAGATTTTTGCTCTGTAGAATGTCCTTCAAAACTAAATGTCCTTTTCAGCTGCAGAGCACCTTCTGTGATCCAGGTCTTAAGGAAACCAAGGAAACTAGGGAAGTCCACCAAKACACATTTGTTGCTGTGTATTGTATAAGCTGTTAAAATCACTCTAGATGTTGGTATTTGATAAGTGTGGGTTTGAGTTGCTAGTTGTGCACTTAGGGATCCTTCTAATTCAGCACCTCGTGGAAGAGAACCCTGCTCAGTTCTTCATCTCCTTATAAGTAGCTATGCATGACATTAGCTAGAATTGCACAAAGCAACACTTGGTTTCTCTGAAGAATGAAAATAAATACTTTCCTCAACCTCAGAAAGATAAGTAATTGTTAAGGTCTTGGCTGCTTTTTAGTCACCTTCACTGCTTATGCCACCTCCCTGCCAAAAAAAACTGAAAATCGTTTTCTCCTGGCTTTTTTTTAAACCCCTGAGAGCACTACAGTACTATTGCCTCCCATTAACACTCAATTGCTATTCTCACTGTGTTTTTAATGTGTTCCAAAGTTTCAGCCATATTTTCTAATTTTCCCATGTTCCAAAGTCAGTGGGTTTGAAGCCTRTTACACCGGTGGTAAGACACAAAAGGCATTAAATTTTGATGATCTCTCAGAGCCTATTTGCCCCTGAGAGTCTTGGTATTAGCTAAACTTCTTCCAGTATCCTTAGAGGATTTAAGTACCCAGTAAGGTCATTTAACWTCCCTATTCTAGTTTTTTTGCCTTGTGTAAAAGAAAATTAAGGTAACCTATTCTAGATTTACATTAGAGGACTGTACAATTCTTTTAGAAAAATGGGTTTAATAGGTTACATTTTTAAGGTAAATTTCAGTGAATAAGCTACCTCAAACTAGTTCCTATGAGTTAGATCCCAAGCATTCTAGAGAAGCAGGAGAGCAGCTCATGTGGAGCCTGCTACCCCATGTTATCCTCCTAATAAGGGAACCTTGAATATAGGAAATACATTAACATAAGTGATGACAATATCAGAATCATTGCTGACTTGGAGCATTTTGCAGTGAAAGAAATCAGTTGTAGAGGAGGCCTGCACTGCTCCTTCCCTCTTCCTCTCTCAACTGCATTATAAACAAAGTAAATCTGGGACTGCACATTTGCAAGCACAGCTGTACTTTCTGCTTCAGCACTGAACCTTGTAGCTTTGTTGGGATGATGCTGCAGTCTCAGTAAGGCTTAGGATCATAAATCAAGCATAGAACAGTGCCCAGGATCCCTCAGACATGGGCCCTGCACACAGGACCTCAGATGCCTATATTTGGTGTCCAAACTTGGGACAGACACAGCTGCAAACATGGCAATATTTTAACAAGTGGCATGCCATGGTYCATTGCTTGTGATTTCTCTCACCTCCAGGTTAAAGGACCAGGAATTGGTTTGCTTGGACATTCGAAGGGGGGTGATCTGTGCGTCTCCATGGCCTCCTTCCTAAAGGGCATCACGGCCACTGCCCTTATCAACGGCTCGGTGGCAAATGTGGGCGCAATGCTGCGCTACAAGGACATCACCATTCCACCCCTTGGGATCAATCGAAAACGCATCAAGGTCGGCAAGTCTGGGATTGCTGATATTATTGATGCATTGAACAACCCATTAGAGGGCCCTGACCGGAAAAGCTTGATCCCTTTGGAGAAGGCTGAGTGTTGCTTCTTGTTCATTGTTGGCCAGGATGATCACAATTGGAAAAGCGAATTCTTTGCAGTTGAGGGGAGCAAGCGTTTGCAAGCTCATGGGAAGCAAAAGCCTGAGATTGTCTGTTATCCTGGAGCAGGGCACTACATTGAACCCCCCTTTTTCCCAATGTGTGCAGCCTCAATGCACCTGCTCTTTGGCAAGCCTGTGATGTGGGGAGGGGAGCCCAAGGCACACTGTGAGGCACAGATAGATGCTTGGCAGCAGATTCAAGCTTTCTTCCGTAAACACCTCACAGGCAAGCCATCTGGAACATCCAGTAAGCTCTGATAGGAATTAGGTTACTTTACAGATGAAGATGCTGGTGTTTCAAGTTTGTTTTGTTAAATGGCTCAGAACGAGAACAAGGAATATCAGAGAATAAGCTTTGGGTTTCTTAGAGGATGATGGTGGGCAAAAGCATGAAAGCTGCTTCCTTTTTACACCCTCCTCTAATCTTGGTTAGAGGTCTTGGCCTCTTATTTTTGTGTAGTATAGGGTTACAAGCTGTGGAAAACAAATGGCAGTAAGGCTGTGTGTGCTTTGACTGTGAATTGAAGTGGTAGGTAACTCATCCAAGCTGAGAACTGGGATGAAAATGTGCCTTGGCCTTCTCAGAGGAAACATACGTCATCATTGCCTATCTTTGTATTCTAGGCCCAGTGTTCTAGTTTTTCTGTAAGTAGTTCTCTCTTCCTCCCCCTAGTAATCTTTCTGTTCTCCCTGTGCACTTCTTCCTCCTTTGTTGCTCCTTCCCTTCTCCCACACCACTAAAATGCATTTGCCTTAACAATATCTAATGTTTTACTCACCTAAAGCAGCAATACTGTGCCACCACCCTCAGATAACTTTACATTTAGAGGCAACAAACAGCCCATGGCCTGATGTGACGTTCTGAGCCCATGCAGTAGAAATGAGACATTGAAACAGTCTGTGGAAGTTCTTAAGTGTGAAGAAACAACAGAACGGGTCCTGTTAGTCATCACACTGAGGCCGCTCACAGGTGTCTCGGCATGGCTGGGTATGGCTGTGGATGTCCGCAGCACTGTCGGAACTCCCTGCCTGTACATTCCCTAGACGCTTTCTCAGCTCTCTGCTCGGAAGGGCTGCTGAGAGCACCCCGGCTGCGGGGCTGGCTCCGTGAGGSCGGGTGCGGGCTGAGGGGGGCGGGAAAGGGCGGTGAGGCGGCTGTGGCGGAGCGGGGCTCCGGCTGCACGCCCGATGTTCTCTGGGCAGCGGGGGGAGCGCTCAGCGCCCTCCGGCATCGTCAGTGACGTTTGGCACCCAAGCGTGCGGTTGAAGAAGGCGCTGGATGTTGTCGGCACATATGCACCGTGTATTCGAGCGCGTTGTACCCGCCAGGGCCTGCAGCCCTCATCCAGCCTCGGCTGCTGTCCGCCCGTCAGGCGCGTTTGTGCCTTTCMCATCCAATGTACTTGTAATGGATTAAAGTGAAACTTTAACCGCTGCCCACGGCTCGCTGCTCCAGTCAGTTGGGTGGCTTGCGGGAGGCGGGAGGGGCCTTTCCGGGAGCTGGGGGGCGGGGAGGGGCTCTGCTCTCGATTGGGGCCGCCTGGAGGGGGCGGCGGCCGCGGTACCGATATTGCGGGCGGCGCGGCCACACCGCGCACCCGTCACTGCCGCCGCCGCCATGTGGAGAGCGCTGGCTGCCGCTGCCGCCGCCCCGGCACGGGCCCTGCTGCGCGCCCCGTCGGCCCCGGTGACCCGGCGGGCTGCCAGCCTGGCCGTGTCCCCCACCGCCGGGCCGGCGGACGAGCGGGTGGAGACGCGGGTGGCGGGGCTGAGCCCGGGGCAGCCGGTGACCCTGCGGGCRGTGGCTGCAGATGACCGCGGCTGCCTCTTCCAGTCTTGTGCGCACTACCATGCGAACAGCCGYGGGGAGCTGCACCTGGGCACGGACGCTTCTCAAGGCGGGGACTACACCGGCGTGGAGCCCATGGGGCTCTTCTGGAGCCTCACCCCCGCCGGCATGGAGAAGCCCTACCAGCGGCTTGTTCCCCGCAGCACCGGCACCCCGATGAAGGTGGAGGTGTTGGTCCACGAGGGCCACAGCCCGCCAGGCGCCATGCCCGGGCCCGTGGTGGCCAAGGCCGAGGTGCAGAGGTTGTTCACGGCCCCCGGCGTGCGGAGGATACGGCTGAAGGAAGGAGTCGTAAGGGGCTCCCTTTTCCTGCCGCCGGGTGAGTKCCCGGCCCGAGACCTTGGCCCTGGGCCGGCGGGAGCCCCCGACTTCTCTGACCAGAGCCAGGAAAGTTTCGTAGAAYAAGCCCCATACACAGGCTGTCAGCCGGGAAATCCGCATTCCCTAACAGCCGAACGCCGCCCAGCACACAGGTGGCCCTGCAGTCTTCAGGAGATACTCCCAAGCGCTTGTCGCGACAGGGCTCGGCTGATGCCGCCCCGTTTGGTCCTCGGYGGCGCCGGGCAGGGCGGGCACGGGCAGGCGGCTCTTGTGGCMCGGGCCGGAGCTAAAGATGAACAGGGCTTGTAGAGTTTACTTTATTGCTGTGCTCGGCCTGCGGCTTTTCAGTTGATTTGATGTTTGCTCTGGTGTACTAGAATCTAACATCCAGGAAAGCTGATGTGCTTCATTGTGTGAGCCTGTGCTGAATCTGCCAAGGATTTTACCCTAAGTTGGATTGAACTAAAAAGGTGTTTTTCTTCCCTGTGAAACATAAGCTAGGAAGCAGAGCAGCAGAAGAGATTCTAGAAAATACATGTATTCCGCATCTGTTACACGGGAGCCAAAGCTAAGTTAGTAGTTGGGTAACTTTTGTGGTATAAAGACAAAATAGATTTATGAGCAAGTTATGCCTGTTCTGCTTATGAGATGGTTGTGCTTTATGAGGTGTGATATTCTGATGGTCTGTGAGTGGTGTTGGGAAATGAAACCTTACACCAGTGATTGTGTACACTTGAGCTATGATTTCTTGTAGTTGCCTGGGTGTTGTGGTACTGGAACTGCCCTCCATGCTACCTCCAATTTAAAACTACTTGCTTCAGCAACTCCTCTAAGTGTCACTACACTTATGAGGTATTTAAGTATTTTCATTGAATGATTTCCAAACCAATGATTTTTTAAATCCATTTAGATGCAGATCCAAAGTCCACTGAAGAAAAAAACAACAGAGATTGAACTTTGAATTTCAGATGTTTAGTCAGCACGCTGGATTTTCCATCCCTGAGATATTGTTTTAGAGGATGAGTTTGATTTCTGCTGAGCTAAGTGGGAATCCAGAGATCTGCAAGATGAAACTGCTTTTTCCCCTTTAGAAAGTCTGGCATTCTAATAGTGCGGAAAAGTCGGGAATCATTGCTTATATGATGTTGGCATCCCTCATGAGGGAGGATCCAGTTGCAGCATTACTGCCATACCATTCTTGGCTCCAGGGACAAAAAAATGTTAATATTTTTAAGATAGGAATCTTAAATGCGAACCATGCTTAGTAAAAGTGAGAGGACATGAGTGGGCTTATGTTGTAATTTTAATGGGAAAGCGATTTCTAACTTCAGCCATAGGAGTTACAGATGTGGCGATTTGTTTGTTTTTAAATGTTATTGAGGTTGTATAGCCCATTTTATCCTGCCTTTGACTGAACCATGCAGAAACCGTACACTTGGGCATGCGYAGACACTCAAAAAGGTAGTCCAGGACCCTTGTGCAAGTTAAAGGTTACATGCTCTCACTAGAAAGTTTTCAGGTAGGGGTGATGAATGAATACTTATTTTCTAGCCATTGAGGCCGGCTGCTGCTAACTAAAGATTACGGTTGATCTTGGCATTATGATGCATTTATCCCAGCCTGACTCGCTAATGCTTTAATTTAGAAGGTTTCCACCATTTAGCATGTCTTATACTAAACTTCCTTTTCTTAAGTGTGTTGAAATGTCAGAGACCTTTTCTTTAGCTCGTACAGGTAATGTGAGAGAGTTAACACACTTCTGCTGAGATGGTTATAGTGGGCTGGATTAGGGCACATCAGAGGTGACATCTGGTGGCCAGGGAAAGAAAAAAAGAAATTGCTTGCCTGGGGTCTCTAAAGCTCCACGAGGTAGTATATTTAGCTTTTTAATCTAACATCTCCTGGCTTGGCCTACAAATATATTACAACACGACCTTGGCTGCAAAGGCATGGCTGTTTAAAATTGTGGTTGTGATTATTTCTGTAGTTTGGTGGGACAGATTGTACACATGCATGTGCACATTTATCTGTACATCATGCTCACACATCCACACCCATACAGCTCTTGGTTCTATCTTCCATCTAGTCACATTTGCAGGAGCAGTTCTTCTGCCAAGTCTTAAGAGTGTTGATGTTGAGACAGAGCTAGTAAGTCCAGTTGATTTTAACAGTAGGTATCTCTTTGTTTACTTTGTTCAATGCAGTATATGTCAGAGTTTACTTAAGTTTTGTAGAATTTACTTCAAGGGCAAGTGCTCTTGCCTTGTTACTCACGAGGTTGTATCTTGCTAATTAAGACGTGACTTTGTGGGAAAATTGCTGACTTGGTGTATGATTGGCTTGAGGGCAGGAGGTTAAGACCATTGAAAAACACACTGAGAACAGGTGTTTTGTTTTTTTTTAAAAAGCAAAACCTCCAACTTCACCTACTTTTACAGGAATGTAAGGACCACTTCTTAGTTTGAAATAGCTGAAGTGGGATACAGCACTGGTTCTCTTAAATCTTCACTGTGCAAATGGAAAAGAAATGGCTATTAACAGCAAATGTCTTAAGCATTCTCTATATTGTTCACTCTTCACCAGATAGTTAGTAGAGTCCTGTTTGATAACTTCTCCTCTGTTCCTCTTCTCTTTAATATAGGGGATGGCCCCTTTCCAGGAGTGATTGACATGTATGGTGATGAAGGAGGCTTGATTGAATTTAGATCCAGTCTCCTGGCTACCCGTGGTTTTGCTGCTCTTTCTCTACCGTATTTTGATTTTGAAGATCTTCCTAAGGTCATGAAAGAACTCAAACTTGAGTACTTTGAGGAAGCAGCAAAGTTCCTACAGCGTCACCCAAAGGTGAGTGTAATGAGAGATCTCTTGGGACTAGGGAGCTTTGAGCAGTCATGCCCAGGTGGTGGTGGTGATTTTTTAAATATTTGTGTATCAGTTTCTGGTGGGGAAGTTTAGGCCCAATAGTGGAAAAATTGTTCATGTGCATAGGTGGCGTTTGCGTATGACTTGGGAGAGTGAATTTCTTCCAGCACAAACTGTCTGTTAAATAAATTAATGCTGGAAACTGGAAGATTGCTGATCATTAGGATAGTGAAGTGCTGCAGTATCCTCCAAACAGGACCAGTGGTGATAAAAATATGTGGTTTGTTTGGGTTTTTTTTTTTCACATGAAAGCAATTAGGAGAGGATGATATAAAATGGCTTAATAGTAATTGAAAGAATGGATTTGATGACTTGGGATGTTGCTTTTGAGTTTTACTTTCCAGGCTAGAAAAAGACCAATGCTACATATCTAATCCTTCAGGTGTCATTTGTGAGGTTACTTTATTTTCCTGAGACATACAGTAGACTGTGCTTGAATTTCCTGCTACCTGTTTTAGGAAAATGAGAAAAAAATGTCATTAACATATGCAGCAGGGACCAGGTAAGGATCGAGTGATGGTACATCTTGTGCCTCTCTGTGCATTTTTGGTGGGGTTTGACATCTCTCAGTGTCTCTGAAAAATAAGACTGTAAACAGAAGGAGGAACCTGGATCTGCACTGTAGCTTTCCAACAGGTCACATCAATAATTAACCTAACTTTTTTTTTTAATGAAACAACTCCAAAGTCATTTAATGGCTAATCCCATTATAATGCATGCTTCCTTTATTTCTTCCTCTCTTCTTCACCYCCTATCTTATCTGAAGGTGAAAGGACCAGGAGTTGGAGTGATTGGGACTGGGAAAGGGGCAGAATTAGCACTCTCCATGATCACCTTCCTGCCAGAAGTTGTGGCTGCTGTCTCTATCTCCGGCTGTAGTTCAAACACAGTTGCAGACCTCCATTATGGTGAGATGATTCTGCCCGGGCTGCGTTTTGATATGAACAAAGTCAGTGTTTCTGACACTGGTGTATTTGACATTTTTGAAGCTCTGGATGACCCATCAAAACCTGCTAATTCTCCTTGTGTGATCCCCGTTGAAAAAGCAGAAGGTCACTTTCTCTTAGTGGTGGGGGAAGATGATCGKATATGGAAGAGCTCCTTATATGCTGAGCTGGCAATCAAGCGTCTACGCCAGCATGGGAAAGAGAACTTTGAACTCCTGAGTTATCCAGGAGCAGGTCACCGAATAGATCCTCCTTCTACTCCATTTTGTCAAGTAGCTATGGATCGTGTTTTGGGGGTGCCTGTTCTGGGGGGTGGAGAGAGCAAAGCACATGCCCATGCACAGGAACACTCCTGGGGAAAGATTCAGGAGTTTCTGCACTTGCATTTGGGATGAACACTTATGCACATGCAAGTTGTTGCAGAACTGCAAGGACTGAACTTGAGCCACCAAAATGACTGGTGATGACTGGTGAATTGGAGGGATTGACTGAGACAAGCTTTGAAATACGAAAATAACCAAATGACTACTTAGTTACAAGTATAAATTAAAAAAGAAAGGGATTTATTTGGAGCAGCCTAAGTTAATTTAAATATGTAAACAGAGGAGATGCGAAGCCATAAGCAGGCAGCACTATGGTACAAATTTGACAGCTCATAATGGTCATGATACGAAGAAACAAGTACCTGAAGACAGCAGCAGATACTTACTTGCTTGCAGTACTTACAACTCAGAGGATGTTCACAGCTAGCCTGCACCCTCAGCAATGACAGACAGGATCACACCTTGGGAATGATGGATGATAAACTTAGACATCAAAATCATTAATGATTCTGGCTTCGAGTCCCAAGTTACCTTAGCCCAGAATTCTCATATTTACAGCCATATACACTTCAGAGATCATTTCCATTTACACRAAGCTGGAGATACCTACTTGAAATGAGGCCCATGTACTTGTTTACAGTCTATTTCTTTCCAAAAAGGACTACGTGCTGAATGGGAAAATGAAGAGTACTCTTCCTTGTCAGCCAAGGAGAATGGTGGCACTAGCACTGTCTTGTATTGGGGATGTACCTGTCTGTTCTTGTGATGTCTTGGATTGGCATTTGACATTCAGGRTATTAAGATTCTGTTGGATATGTTAGAGTATGTGGAAATGAAGTCATTAAGGTAGGGATTAACTACTAGTGGAACTCTTTAGTAATGGTAATAGATACTGACAGCTGTTCTTAGGGAGGGAACAGAGTTGGGAGACAGAAAACCTAGTCTGTAGATTTAAACTGACTGTAAAAAGTTGTCATGTTGTGGTGCTGATTAACTCAGAATCATACCAAACTAGCAATGCCCTCCAAAAAAACTCAAAGCCAAATCTAGGATGGCTTTTCCAAGATTTTTTTTTTGGCTGCCCAAGATTTTTCTTTTTTCATCGAAGTTAATTTTTGCCCAGTGCCTTCTTTTTCCCCATCATTGAGGCAGAAAGAAGCAACTTCTTCCCAAATGAATTGTTCTCTGAAGAGAGTCTTGCTGAAATGGTGCCAGTGCTAAAGGCCTGTTTAATGAGGGTCTCTATCCACAGTTTGTCCTTCCAAAGTCATTTTGTCTGACCAGTTTGAGAGCTGCCCAGGAGATACAAAACCTTCATTGTGGTACTCAGTTTTGCTTTGCTCTCAGGGATCTTCTCTCTCCAGTTAACTGTCATTATGYTGCTGCTCAGGTGTCACTAGCTTTCTGCAACTCTTATTAGTCCTTATAATTTGATTGATGTCACATGTTCTTCACACAATCAACACCAACTGAACAATTTATCCATCCATTCTTTACAAGAGAAGCTCCATCCTGCTAACTTTACACAAGATCTCTTCATGCCTGGTCTCTAAACTCCCTCACCAGCTGAAGAGGCTTTTGCCAGCTTCTATCTGTGCTTGACCTTCTGCTAACATGAGCAGCCCCAGAAGTCCAGGACCAGAGYCTGCTATGATGTGCTCCTTGGTGTCACCTATACCTGGCACCTTGCCTTTTTTTCCAAACTCATTCCAAGTGGCAGCTGTAGAAGAAGGGGTTGTCTGTTGTCTGAAGGTTCCTGTTTGTCAGTCTGCCTCATCCTATGCCTCTTCAGTAGYTGGAGCTGTTATTAATTGTGCAAGAGCAGCACCTCCCCTATTCCCTTTTTGTCACTCTCGCAGTGCCAACACCTGTGTCTCCACACTGCAGTCCTACCTCAGCATGAGCATTGCTATGCAAGATTGCAATCTGGAGGTTCAGGAAGCAAATGTTAAGTTGTAAATAAAACAAAAACCAGGTGGATTAAGAGTTCTCAGACTTAATTTCTAAAGCACAAGCCTTTAAAATAATTCAGTGTTAGATTTTTTCAGATATGCAATTTGAAAGAGAAGTAAAACACTTCCTTTATTAAAAAGCAACCATGTGTAAGAATTTTATGTTATCTATTTGTCTGAAAAAGTGAATGACAGTTTGTTTAAAAAGAAGGAAAAATAAAAATAATGTGATTTTGCTGTGAAGAGCCTTTGTGAATGAGTTGTGGTTTCCCAGACAAAATAATTAATAGAAGGATTTGTTGAAAACCAGACAGCGTTTGCACTAGCATTTTGTATATTTATGATGCTACCTGGAGACCTGAGATGCATTGCAGGCACTCTACAGAATGTGCAGCTATTTTCTGAAGTGTACATTAAACTGCCTGATTATGGCCTTAGTTACAGCCACATTATTTATATTGGTTTACATTCACAGAATTGTTAGAGTTAGAAGAGACTTCTGRAGGCCACTTAGTCCAATCCCCCTGCTAAGGCAGGGTCACCTAAAGTAAGTTACACAGCAATGGTCAGGTGAATTTGGACTGTATTCACAGGGAGACTCCATGGTGGCTTCCCTGGGCAGCCTATTCCAGTGCTCTGCCACTCTTACCATAAGGAAGTTCTTCCTCGTGTTGAGGTGGAACTTCTCGTATTTCAGTATATGGCCATTTCTCCTTGTCCTGTCACTCAGCACCCCTGAAGAGTCTGACACTCCCCCTGACACCTACCTTTGAGATATTTGTATGTGTTGGTGAGATCCTCTCTCAGTCTCCTCCTCTCTAGATGAAAGGGGCCAAGGTCCCATAGTCTGTCCTCGTAAAAGAGAGGTTCCAGACCCCTCACAATCTCTGTGGTTCTCCGCTGGCCCCTCTCCAGTAGCTCCTCTTGCACTGAGGAGCCCAGAACCGTACTCRGTAATTCTTTGCCGGGCCAAACTCCCCTCCCATTCCATTGAGACGAGTGCTCGGGGGGCTGGATGAGCTGCAGCGGCCACAGCTGCGGGTGCTGGCAGCTGCCCGAGGGGTTCCCCGTGTTCCCGGTGCCGGGCTCGGACACGGCCCAGCCCGCCCCGCCCGGTCCCACAAGGCGCCGCGGCCCCCGCCCCCGACGCGAGTTCCGGGCGGGGCGTTCCCCGCGCCCGTAGCGACCGCCGCGTTCGCGGTAGCAACGGCACCATGGTGAGTCCTGCGGCCGGGGCGGCTCCGGGACCGGCGGCGGGGTCGGGGCCGGGGCTGGGGCCGGGCTCTCAGCGGTCCTGGGCCAGCGGGGGCGGTGAGGGGCGGCGTGCAGCCCTCCGGGCCGGGCCCATTGAGCAGCCCGGGCTCGGCCAGAGGCGTCCGGGAGGCAGCGCGGGGTTCGGGACAGCGGCTGAGGCGGGGGGCTGTGCCTGCTGCTGTGCCCTGGCAGCGGGGGATTTCGGGGATAAGTGAGGGAAGAGGGGAGTCTCACAAACCTCAGTTAGTACGTGGTTTTCAGTGTCGGCGATCTCTACAGCGATTAGCTTGGTATCTGTTGCTATGCAATTCCGATTTCATCTGTTTAACAGATAAATGTACAAATAAATGTCTGCAAATAAAGGCGAAGTGTTGCTATTTTGCTTTTTCCTAGGGGTCTAAATTTTTAAATACTCTGTGTCTAAGTGCCATGTCTTGGAGGGGAAAACACATCTTTTGTTGCAACTCTTACTAGTACAGATGTGGTTATTTTTTCCCTTAAGGTATTCTGTTTCTTGTTCCCGATGTGTTGATAGTGACTCTTCAGGGTGTTCATTGCTCGCTTGGCATTTTGAATATTATGGCTTTCTTTTCTCTAAACACCTGTAGAAAAYGGTTCAATAAGCAGATAGAGGAACCCTGCAGATAAGCTTCTCAGAGTGAGGTTTCCCTTAAGTAACCTCCMTTGGCAGAAGGGGATTTAGCTATAGAAATTTCAAGTGCACCTCAAAGAAAATTAAGTCCCTGATATGTGCTCTCCAGATAACACACGGTGCTGATGTCCATGTTTCCATCAAATCGGCAGAGATAAGTCAGCAGAGGTCAGGGAAGAAGCTGGTCCTTGTGTTCATATGGATCAGTGTCTTTAAACTCCAATCTGTTTTTAAGCATGACTTTGAAACAGCAGCAGGCACTGGTCTTATAAATCCATTTCTGCCTTCAACATGAGTGACCAAGATTACATAYCCAAATGCTGTCATGATTGGGTGCCATAACTGAAAAAGGCAATGAAGTTCCTGCCCAAAAAATCCAATCAACTGAAAGCCAGCTGGTTTTGCTGGCACACTGATAGCTGTTAATCGGCTTGAATGAGGTTGTTGTAGTGGGAACTTAGGGGTGTGATCTTCAGAACAGAGGAGGTGTTATCTTTGGCAGACACTGGGGAGATACCTTTACCTGAAAGGCTGCTTTTATGCACATGTGATAGTGCTACACTTAAGAGCAACAGAGATGCCAAAACCAGAGTCCTGTTTTTGTAGAAAGGAGGCTTTTGATCAGTGTTTGTAAACAACTGATCTCTGAAACCTTTTTAATCCAAAAGACATCTCAAAGTATGTTTAATGTTTAGAGAAGCATTAAAGATGTTGTTTATATATTACTGTTTTGGATAGCTTTATGTGGTTTTGCTAAGACTCTGATGTGAGATAGAAAAGTTAGAGTTAGTGACAACAGAAAGTTGGTCAGTGGGCCAGGCCTTAAAAAGCAGCTCTCAGATTTTTCCAAATGGAATAATACGTGTTTTCACATCAAATTATGTAACTCAATGGAAAACAATTGGAAAGAAACCCCAAATATATACAATCCAGATTGCTCTTGAATTTTGGCAGGATGCACCTCATTTTCATCGGTGAATTTTAAGCGGCTGTATCATTGTCTGGTCACAGACTCGCTTTCAGAGAGGAAATTGCTAATGCACAATAGAATGTATAAAGATTTAAGATTTTAAGTGCAGTAACTTCTTATGCCTTTGAAATGAGTTTCACCATAGAAGCTAATAAGCAATGTGCCATGGGTCAGAGAATGACCAGGAAGATAATGTCCTGACATTAAGCCCATTGTTTACTTCTGAAAATGCAGCAAAGTACCCCAGAAAACAAAATTACGGGACACTGAGGGGTTCCAGCTTCTTTGACTTGGCTGACACAAGATAATACAGGAAAGTGGTGTAAGTGGGGGCAAACAAGCAGGAGAGGGAAGGGAAATAGATTTGAAGTGAACTTGCCACTTTAAAATTTCAGTGAATGTTCACTTAAATTTGTTTCATTTTTAGGCAAAAGCAACAACCATCAAAGAAGCTCTAGCCAGATGGGTAAGTACTAAAACAGTATCTAGCGCCATGGGATTTGACTGTATTCAGCTAATTTGTTTTTCAAACATTGTAAGAAATACAATGAAACATCTGCTTTAARAAGTTTCACAAAGTAAAATGATGATTACTGTTGTTGTTGTATAATACATTCTGTTGGACTTTCTATATGTTTCTGTTAAATTGGTACAACTGGTGAAGATGAGTCTGTTTTGCCCTCCTGCCTTGTTCTGTTGAATATGCTTTCGCCTGAAGCTACAAAGTCATTCAAATTTGGGAATGTATTATGTTTTAATTATACTCTGTTCACTTTACCTAAGCAGTCCTTCCCAGAGAAAAAACAAGTGTAAAATTCTTACTGTACTAAATCCAGTGAAACTTCTACATGTGTTTTGACATGTCGTCCCTCATTTTGTGCTAAGCTTCATTCAATGAGTTGCTTGGATATTTTTTTTTCCTTCTTAAAGCACTGTGTTAATACAGAAGCTCACTTGTCTTGTGGTGGCTGACCTGGTCTTACAGAAAGCTGTGTGTTGGCAAGGATGTGGATGTAATTTCAAATGATCATGTAGGATGCTCATCTGTCCCRTAAAATCAGGGAGAATCTTTCCCCAGACTCAGTGAACTTTAGACAAAGGTACAGATGTGCTTTTTGGTGTACATGCACTTCCCTGCTAATTCTGGCCAGCTGCTGGAGCAAGGGTTTATAAACATTTTAGTTTCCAGAAGATCTAGATGTGAGAGTGTGGGCAGGTACACTTGAAAGCCAGAAGCTCAAGGTATTAGCCTGTAACTGAAGATGACTTCYGTTTTGAATTTTATCATTGTTTAGTACCTTCAGTATTTCCAGGGTTTTCCAATTATTTTGGTGTATCCCACAAACTTCACTCCTGCTCTCCTAGTAAGTAGTAGAATGCAACAACTTGCAGACATTAGTATTATTAGAGGTATGAACTGTGTATTTAAAAAGTTTGCTTTCCCTCCATCACTCTTTCCGACTTCCAGAACTTCAGCTCCATGTTTTCTATTACAGATTTATTTTTCTTTTGCCTCTGTCACGTCTCTTAGACAGAATTGGCCTGTGTCAGTGAGTTTCCATTAACATTAGGCATGAAGTGCTGAATTTGCTTTTCTGTTCAAGTTGTTGGAGGTGGCTCTAAATCCGCCTTTTACTCTTCCTAATCCACATCCATGTGACTTGTACAATTGGATGTGATGGTGTGTTGCATTCTGAATGYTTTTCTTCCCTTTGGCATAAGGGTTTACCTATGCCCTACAGTCAGGGTGACATTAGTTACATCAAAGCAACTTGAAATCAAAGCAGCTTCAACTTGGCAAACATGTAACCTGTTCTTAAAAAGATGTGTCTGTTCTACCTATACTTTCTCTGTGGCATAYTGTGGGTGTGCAGCTGCTTACAGAAGTACTTGGCAATGAGGATGAATTTTCTTCCTGCAGGTGCTCACTACTGGCCACAATCTTATTTGGAAGTTCTCTACCTTTCATGCTTTTAGGAAAAAAYGTATTTTTATTTGTTGGTATAAGCTGATAGATTACAAACTGAGTGTAAATACAAATAGATACAGTGCTGTTCTTAGAAAAGAAAATGGAAGTTTCACATTGATAAAGATACTTTGCTTGAACACATATARCCATATTCCAGCAAAACATCTGGCATGTTTATTTGCTAAATCACTAATTATGAGTAAAAATACTGTCACACTGAATTTGGACAGAAACTGGAATATAAATAAATGTACAAGACAATATGATTTTTCAAATTAAATTAAGTTTTCTGAAGTATTTTGGTTCATAAGATGAAAAATGATGTTATCAAAACCTGATGTTCTGCTGTGGGATACTAAAAGAGTTATGGGATATRATTAATTTAATTACAAAATAGCCATATAAACTGGGACACACACAGCTATCTCTCTTCTCAGTAGATACATGAAGTGGGGGAGAAGACAACAGTCCTTGTTTTGAAAGAGCCAAGATTTCTCATTTGTTAATGGACCTCCAGTCCTCCCACTGAACACTGAGTGAACTGACAAAATGCTCCCTTTGTGCTGTCAGGGAGGCAGCTGTCAAAACTGCTGCTACTCTCYAAATAGATACTTGTTCCAAGTATTTAGTCAATAATTGCCATCACTTCAGAATTTTAAAAGCTTTAATAGAATATATATTTTTAATACACCGAAATGCTGACGTTACAGCCTTTTTTTAAGGCTCCGACTTTTACAAAGTATTTAATTTAGAAAATTATCAACCTGGATTGTAAATATATTTGTCTTTTGCTGTATTTTCTAAACTGTGACATCTTCCCTACTCTTTCTTAATGGCTAATTAGAAATTTATTTTTAGATTCTTAACAGCGTGAATCCATTGATGTCCTCCCCCTAAACACACTCCTGTCTTCAATTTGTGTTGTGAACTGGGCATGAGTTCTGAAATTTCTGGGTGAAGTGGGAAGGAGACTTTTCTGTCAGAACTTTTAAAATCTGCTTCTGCTATAGATTGGACCTAGCTGAGGTTTCAATATGTCAGTCTCTATGGAAATACCCTAATTCAGAGTTTTAACTTTCCATCTGTTCTCCGTTCTTTATGACATACAACTTGATTAAATTGATCAAGTGTAACACATCTTTTAAAAACCAGCATATGTAATGTATAAGTTCTGTTGATATTTTGAAAATAAGTTAGCCTTACCTTTTTTATGCTACACCAGCAGGCATCTTGATAACAGTACTCAAAATGCTTTATCTTTCCGGTAGTATATTTGAATTACTTCTATAGTAATCACATTTTGAGTAATTTTTTTAGTACAGCAGTTTTTGGAATTGCATGTAGCAGTGAGCCTCTTCWGCACCTTCTCTTTTCTTTAGGAAGAAAAAAGTGGCCAGAAGGCTTCAGAGGCAAAGGAGGTAAAACTGTATGGGCAGATTCCTCCTGTGGAGAAGATGGATGCCGCTCTCTCTGCTCTTGTTAACTGCGAGTAAGTTCACTTAACAAAATATTGGAAACRAAGTATTCTTCTCTCTTTGTTTCAGTTTTTCTGCTGTGCACTGCAAATAGGTATTTACTATGTTTAAGTGTGGCCCTCAAAGCAGCAGCTTTCTCTTTTTTTCTCAACTGAGTTTCTCTTTCAACACACAGTTGTCCTTTTTAATTCAAAGACCCCTGTAACTTAACTCAAAAGGTGTTAGGGTAGATTCTGTATTAATAKTTGTCCCCTGAAAAATTATATACTGTTGATCAATATATAATTACAGATCTGTGTTTGTAGTCTAYCAGCTAACTGGCACATTTATGATCCACTTGAAAATTCATGAAAAAAAAGAGGTGATTTGAGCAGGACTTCAGAARGAGATTAGAGTAATTTCAGAAGTAAACATCCATGCATTTGGTAAGGCTAGGCATCAAAAGATAATCCAGTACATCGTGTAAATAATTCATGGTACTTTCCCAGATGCTAAATAAAGTTGCAGAAATCTTGATGGTTTGAGGATATTTTGAGTCTGTTTACACATGCAGTTAGTTCACCGTCTAATGAGAGAAGAACATACAATTATTTCTAATGCAGTGGTGTTTGGACATGGAACTCTTCCAATGTAGTGATCTCTTATAYACTGTGAATTGATTATTCTTTCTTTTAAAGGAAACTATCGCTATCTACAAACTGCATTGATAGAATCGCCAACTTGAACAACTTAAGTAAGTGTCAAGCCAGCCATCCATTTGGATGTGTTTGTTTTCTAGTTGCCTGGTTGCATCATTCGTTGCATGTGTCCAGCTTTATTTGTACCTATTACTATCCTTTTTTATTYCCTCCTTGTAGAACATTACAAGTGACCTTTAAAATGATAAGTCTTACTGGAGAATGCATGCTGAGCAGYGGAGGTGTATTGAAGCAGGTATCCCTGCACTAGCCTTGACAGATGTTTTACAGTGCAACAAACAAAAAATTCCATTCAGTAAGCATTTCAGTACCTCCAGTGGGCCTTGCTGTGATATTCAACACCTAATCAGTTCTAGAGTGATGTGATGTCATGACCATTTTCCATCTGCATTTCAACAACTCTGCAAATGYAATATTGGTTCCAGCAAGTTTGGAGTGCTGTAGACCTAAATGAAAAACARTCATTCTACTTTGCAGAGGACTGGATATATTTGGTTTCATTTTGTTCATACTTTAGAAATGGATGTGCCCTCTGTCTAGAAGCAGAGCTTCTCTTTTTCAGACACCTGTTTTTAAAATTCCTGAGTTACTGACTTTGGAGCAGAAGCCTTAATGGTCCATCCTCAAGAYTATGACTGTGGCATGAGGTGGGAAAAGAGCTGCAGATTTTGAAGTGGAGCTTCCAGGCTTTTCTGTTCCCATTAAAATGTCAGCTGGATAGATAAAGAACCTGGAATCTCATCCTCTCCAAYTGCACACCAAGAGATCTGTCAAAGAGCTTGATGAACTTCTTTTCATAATAAACTCAGACTTCAAAAGATTTGGAAATACTAGTCAGGGAAAAAATATTCCGGTAGTCTTTCCAAATAATTGTTCTGTAATACTTCAATTAACTATCATGAGAAAAAATAATTAGGCAGTTATACATAGAAGTGAAACCAATGAATTTTTTAGTAAGATAAAACATTAAAAGCCTTTAAAACATAATATATACATATATTAATGTAGATTCAAAACATCYAGTCTGTACTAAGTATTTGATGCTAAAGCCAGACAAACTAGAACTAAGTTGAAATGTCTTTCATCAGGTATCTGTAAGGCAGTTTTGTATGCTTCCCTGGAACTGAAACCAAATCTGCTGCCTTAAAATAAGACCAGAACAACTTTTGCCTGGGAAAGAAGGGATATTAACTATGTAAGATCAAATGAAGCAAGTCAGCAGTAGAGTTCAGGTGCAAGGTGAAATAATAATTTTTATTCAGTATATATCAAGACTGAATTTCAGCTAGGTAACCTACACATAAGCAGCTTTCTATTTAGCTGTTATTTCTAAACTGTTTAGGTCAGTCTGTTATGTCTAAACTGTTTAGCTGATCTGTTTAGGTCAGGAGGTTTTGTTTCTATTAGGTTATTCTTTCTTAAGGCASCCTGTTCAGAGTGCAGTTTGTAAGCAGAATATGGCATTTTACCTGACTTACAGCATCTTCTTATTTAAAAAAACTGGTTTATTAAAAAGATTTTTTTTTTAAATTTATTACAGAAAATTTGAGGATTCTATCTTTGGGAAGAAATAACATAAAGAACTTGAGTGGGTTGGTATGTACTTTTTAGTATCAATTCTTCACTAACRAAATAGAATAAGGAGTAATTCCCCTGTGTTCATATTAAGTCTTTGGTGAATTTAATAGAATTAATTGAATATAAGATTAGATACTAACGTTTCATATTCTCCTTTTGCTATCATCTTTTCCCYCTCTTATACATTGCTTCTGAATTTTCAGATAATCATTCACAGGTTTATTGGGTCTGGGTGAGGTAAAGCTCTTTTTGGCCCCCCCACCTCCAAAAACTGGGCCAAGTAAAACCAACACAACAGGTTTTTTCACTCAAATTTTTTCATGTTTGGAAATTCTGCTACACTAATTTACTACACAAAAGAATTTTAGAGAGATTTTGTTGTCTTTAATAAAGATGATCAGAACTTTTATTTGAAAACTGCAGTCTATCTGTAAAGCCATTTAAATTTCACTGGCTCTTCATGAATATAATTCCTATACACCTTTTGCATGCAGAATTTTCTGCCTGAAGATACTTAGGCTATGCTTCTTTAATACAAACATTGTCAGTCCTATAAACACACACTTCCTGAGAATCAGTCCCTTTTCTGTTAACTGGCATCTGAAACTGTATGGCTTTCAGAGTAAGGTGGCAGGGCTGACTCCACCTAGTAGGGGAAAATTTGTTGAGGAAAATATTGGATCCATTTTGTTATATTTGAATTCAGGCCAGAAGAATTGTTTTTTTTTTCCAATCAATATTTTTAAAATGAATATATAAATTATTTTCTTTTACAAGAGATACTGTTTCTCTTCAAAGCTATTCTCATCTTCAGAGATGCCATATCTCTTAAGTGTGAAATGCAGAGTTAGTATGTAAGGACTGGTTTTAAAAAAACCTCCCTTTTGAGAGAATTATGGAAGCGATTTCTGGCCAGCAGGTACAAACATACCAGAACGTACTAGAGTGAATAACATTGTATAACATCCCTTCTAAARCAGCTGTTGAATTGCATTCCCTTCATGTATGCTTGCAGTGCACAAGGAGACAGATTTGTCTCCTCTACCCATATGCCTTAAGAACAACTATCTAGCCACCTACATCTTGTTTTATTCTAATATAGCAATTTCTGTCCTCCTTACATATATTTGAATATATAATTTTGCTTTTAATTCCCATGAGCATTTGCTTTGCATAATAATTAGGGACCTGCTTAAAAGGAAATGAGGACCCATATACCGTAATATTTTCTCACATGAGGTGACCTGTAGAAGATGAAGAAAGAGTATGAATAATGAGGAAGATGGGCTTCTGCTTATCTGAGTAGTCCTGTCATTTTCCAGGAGGCAGTTGCTGATTCTTTAGAGGAGCTGTGGATCTCATACAACTTAATTGAGAAGCTGAGGGGTATCCGTGCAATGAAGAAACTGAGGGTTCTTTATATGTCAAATAATTTGGTGAAAGACTGGGGTAAGGCGTGCATCTCTACTTCATAGAGACTCTCCTGTAGTGTGGYGAATGCATGGGTTAAGTCACCAAGTGAAAAATAGCGCTGTATCTCATGGAGCTTTGATTCTAACTAACAAGCTTGCAGACATGTGCAAAATCCCTAAACATCCACACATGCAAGAGAGTAAAAATAGTTAGAATATTGAACTTAACTTCTAAGTCCAATTAAGTTCGTGCTTTGAATCATCTTTCTCCAACCTCTTTTAAAACGCATCCCTGTTCTTTAACCTCACACCARTTAGAGCCCAGCAGTCCCTCTCCTATTGCATCCCATGCTCTTTATGTTTGCACTGAGTTTGAAAGGAATGTGTGGTGCAGATTTACTTTCCATGTTCCACAATCTGGTTGGTGTTTTTGCCTTTGTGGTTGCAGCAGAGTTTGCGAGACTGTCAGAGGTGCCMTTACTAGAGGAACTGGTGTTTGTAGGCAATCCTATACAAGAGAGATTTGCAGGTGATCAGGCCAGTTGGATCGAAGAAGCAACCAAACGGGTACCCAACCTGAGAAAGCTGGATGGTGAGTTTGGGGCATGAGGCAATTGGGGTGAGTTAAAAGCTGACTATAAACACAGCCACAGGGAAATGAATCATAACCTCAGAGATTCATCTGTGTGCCCATGAAATTAATATTGCTCCCTCTTCTTTGGAGTTACTCAGAAGTAGTTRCTGAGATCCTGGCTGCAGTGTTTGAGGCATTTTGGAGCATTAAATCCAAGTGGACTTGCAATCTACAAYTGGGCATTATTCTGTAGTTACCCAAGTAGTTTTATCAAATACCTAATAGGAAACTGAAAGATTTAGCATTCAATAAGGTAACTAGACTTTCATCTGCCAAGTTGAATTGCAGTTTTCCCAACAAAAGAGGTGACATGAGAGAATGGGGATAGACTGGGATATGCTTTTGTTCATTTTTGATGCAAGGGCAAGGTTTCAAAACTGCATGCAAATTTCATGAATGCTGAATATTCCTCTCCTTTACTGAAGTAAGCTTCAATTTGTGAGCYATCCTCTCCTATTTAAGACACTGATATGAAAAGATTGTCAACCRTGTTCTGATTAGGGACTAAAAATTAGATAATTTTGAAATCTATTTTWAAATATATTAATTCCTGTCAATGGAGATGTTAGCTGTTCACTAAAGCCAGGAAGGGGAGTACAGGACTGATAAAACTGACAAAGAGTCAGAATAGGAGCAGGGAAAGGGATGTCAACAGGAGGAGACAGCTTTGTTGCAAGGAGCGGTGAATGGGATTCTATTACCAGATTGTATCTAAAACCACATCAACTGGGGTAAAAAATGTTATTAGAAAGTGGAAGCCTGATGAGAAAATTGCACTGCTAGGAAGGATGGCCTGCAGTGGTCCATTTGCTGTTGTAGTAGGAAACAAAAGGAGAAATTTTTGTGCGTAAAAAAATGGAATAGGGCACATATTGGTATRAGCCAAAAGTACCCTGGGTTAGATTTACTAACCACACTAAAATGTGGACATTTATGTCCTGGAAAAGGCAGCACAAGGTAGGGGCCCCACAAGGGAAGGGTGGTGTGCTGGTTGGTTCTCAGCAATTGAACTGACTTGGTCCATCTCCCAAAGACTRAGTGAGGCTGATCTTTGCAGACCGTGCTTTAGTACCTTTTTATTCCATGTTACCCAGAAAGTTGGAAAAAATCCAACAGAGGAGCTCATCAGTTGAAGGCTTTTCTAGTTAAGACCAGTTCAGGTATGTAAAAGTTCATGTTGGTTAGAAACAGGCAAGAAATACAACTCTTGACTCTTTCCAACAGGACAGATAAGCTTTCAGGTAGATCATCATTAACTATGTCTTCAATTTTTATTATTATTATTATTATTATTATTATTATTATTATTATTTATTTATTTTAATTTTTTTTTCTTCCTAGGTACGCTAGTTGTTAAAGGAGGAGGAGAAGATGAAGAAGGAGAGGAAGGAGAAGGAGCAGAAGGAGTAAACTGATGACATTTTCCTGTTGGGTATTAAAGTAACTCCAGATAGCTTGGCACATAAACTTTTATAAATATATTTGTTTTGAAGAAAATCTTTGGGCAGTTTTAAAAAGACCAGCTTATCTCCACAGTCTCTCACCCAAAGAGTTAGTTACCAAAATTGTCAAGCTTATGACATCTTCCGCAGAGACTAGTGGAGCTGAGTTTACCTGCTGTTTGGCTAGCAAGAGATCTTTATTTAAATTAATAGCTGTTTTAAATTCCTGATTAGTGGTGCTTATTGTTCACTCTTGGGTTATATAAGAACCATTTTAGCTTGTTTGGTGCTGCTGGCCAACATTGAATTGGAAATACTGAAGCCAAAAGAACAATGTTGTGGTTTAGAGACACCTGACAAGCTTTGTTGTGTTTAATTTTGTCGTGGGACTTTCTCAGTATTTTTAATATGCRAGTTTGCCTTTTCATTCCTTGAAGTGTTATGCCAAACAGGCCCAGCAGCTGCAGAGATCTGCACRAAAAGATATTGGTCTGATGGACGCATCTTCCTGGCTTCAAGTTTTGAAATGGGCTTCTCACATTGGAACTCAACTGCATTGCTCAGAAGGCCATGTGTAACTTATATATTTATTTATTTTTAAGAGGCAAAGGGATTTCTTTGCATGGTTTCACTAAGACTAAAATAACTGCTTAGTTTTTTTTCCTCTTACTAAGAAATTCCTTTAGATTGGAATATGTAGCCAATTATCCTACAGGTGGTTTCTGGCTTTGGATTGGGTCACTGGTGGACATAATCCTTTTCAGCTCTGGAATCTTCCTATAACTAAGTAGGTTGATAACTAACAGAAACAAACAGCAAACAGAAGACCTGGGCTCGAGGACAGAAAATTTTGGTTTTGGGGGTACTAACTTTTTGTGAAAGCACAGGTATAAGCAGTGAGAGAAAGTATCTGTAATTAGTGGGGAAGGTAAAATGAGATGA